CTATTCTATTCTATTCTATTCTATTCTATTCTATTCTATTCTATTCTTAGATGATAGGAGGTTAAAAGATAGGTTGGAGGTTAAAAGATAGGAAGAATTGGGTTTGCCTAGTGAAAAGAAGAACTAGGGGTGACATAATAGTTGTGTTTGAGGGACGGTCACAAAGAAAAGGGGATCAACCTATTTTTCCAAAGCACCAGAAGGGAAGACAAGAAACACTGGATGGAAACTGGTCAAGGAGAGAAGCAACCTAGAACTAAGGAGAAACTTCCTAACAGTGAGAACAATTAACCTGTGGAACGGATTACTTTCAGAAGTCGTGGGTGCTCCATCACTGGAGGTTTTTAAGAAAAGTCTGGAAAGCTATTTGTCTGGAATGGTATAAGGTCTCCTGCTTGAGCAGGGGGTTGGACTAGAAGACCTCCAAGCTCCCTTCCAATTCTGTTATTCTGTTTTGTTCTGTAAATGAGCACAGAAAGGGTCATCCAGCATTGAGGGGGGAAAAAATATGGCAGGCCTAAAATTTAATGTTCTTTCTGGTCACATTAGACTGGTCACATCCCAAAGGATGGCCCAACAGGTCACAGGTTAGTCTAACAATAATTAAATTGATTGAACAGAAAGACCTACCTACAACCACCTTGACGTATCCATGGATACCACTTCGTCTAATCTTCCCCACCAAATAGGATTTATGAATGGGGTGGGGCTTACTTTGAGTACCTGCAAAATACCCTTGTGATTATTGAGATTTTCCATGAGATTGTTAAGTTTTAATCCAATAGTTTTTGCAAATGGGTCAAAGTGGGAAAACTCACATACAGCAGCTATTGAAAGATGTGGCTACTTTCTCTCCCGTACTTCCAGGGCTGGGGGTTCACAGGAGTTCAGGAGAACCTCTAGCTAAGATTCTGTGGAGTTCGGAGAACCCCCAAATCCCACCCCTGGCTGGCCCTGCCCATCCCACCCCTCCCGTCCCAGGAGTGCCCATGGGGCCTGTTTTAGATGCAGGTAAGTGCAGGGCATGCGCAGAGGCTTAGGGAGGGTGAAAAACGGGTCTATCAGAGGTTCTGGAAGGCCGGAAACAGGCCCATTTCTGGCCTCCAGGGGGCCTCCAGAGCCTGGGGAGGCTCTTTTCGCCCTCCCAGAGGCTTAAGGAAAGCCTCTGGAGCCCAGGGAGGGCAAAAACGCTCCCCCCCGCCACCCAGCCTGGTGGCTCAGCAGACTGATAGCATTGTGATTAACACCAGCTGTCTGCGATTACTGTAAGTTCGAATCTCACCAGGCTCAAGGTTGACTCAGCCTTCCATCCTTTCTAAGGTAGGTAAATTGAGGACCCAGTTTGTGGGGGCAATAAACTGACTTTGTATAAATATACAAAAGTATGAAGGCTATTGCTTAACGCATTGTAAGCTGCCCTGAGTCTCCGGAGAAGGGCGGCATATAAATCAAATTAAAAAAAAAAAAACCAGGCAGAGAACCCCTTGCTAAAATTTTTGAAGCCCACCCCGTGTACTTCTCTGTTGCTCTCAATTCTTCAAAGTGGGTTTTCTCCACAAAATACACAGTTGCTGCTCTGTATTACTACCATTACTACTAGTACTACTACTACTACTACTACTACTACTACTACTACTACTACTACCATATTCTCATTTTCTTTAACGTTTTAGACTCTTCTCCCTTCCATCCACAAGAAATGTAAATGATTTCAACTTAACCATCTCAAAACCGTCTTTATTACCGTAGGTAATAAATAAAAATTATGGGATTTTTTCCCCCAAGTACTACTTAATGAATTTTTAATATTTCTTTCATTTTAATGCAATCAATCTCTTGATATCGCAACACTAGTGATGCAACAGTAACACAATTAGGGGACAGAAAGCTCAATGTAGTAACACAAATGAGGTTTACTTATTTCTATTTTTGAGACCGAAACATTTTCATTTTAAATTTTATCTTAAAAGTCCACAATGGAGGCTTTACAGTGGTCTACAGTGGAGGTTGGCAAATGACAAGTATTTTAACAGAATAACTGAGTCAGAAGGGACCTTAGAGGTCTTCTAGTCCAACCCCCTGCTCAGGAAGGAAACCCCATATACCATTTCAAACAAAGACATTTTTACTTTATTTACGGAGATCTGGAAAGCAAAGGCATTTACTTAGGGAAGTGCGGTTTAATCAAATAATAAAATTCAGGCCTCTTTCAATCTCCAAACAGTTGTGAGAGTTTATTACTACTTAATTGAATGTTCAGCCTCGTGAGAATCTATCTTGCAAATTTTCAGGATTTCATTCCCTGTGTCGGTTCGGTTATTCCACCATGTTCTCAAAGCTTTTGAAATATCACTTTCAGTGTTTTTGGGGGAGTGGTGCTTTGAACTGATGTAATTGACAATGGCAATGGTGCTATTTTCTGTTTCATGTATTGCCCTCACTTTGAAGCTGTGTCTCCGATTGATACATATCCGTGACATCTAAAACTTGAGATATCTCGTAACCTTACAAAGTTTTAGACATTTAAAAATCAGTTAATTTGGGGGTAATCCTTGGGTTAGGAAGGCTGCTGCAGAGAATTTAGGAAGAACATATCCAGGGATGCCCTAAGCATCAATAATTATCTTGACTTTTAATATTCGTACAAAATGGGTGGGGCTTTATTGGATTACAACCACTGTTTTTTTTTTTACTTTGTTGATTCCCCCACTTTCCAAATAAGTGTCACTGCTTTTAAACCTGTATCTGGTATAGAAAGAGGACTTACAGAGTTTTGTAGTTTATTATTGCTTGACCAGAGAAGATTCTATCTTTCTTGTGAAGGAAGATACTATTATTATTTTTATTTTTTAAATAATTGTTATTGTAGTTTTTCTTTTCCAAAACTCTAATACATAGACTATGTATTGGAGGAAGATACTATTTAATTACCCATAAATATAACAAACTCAGGGGTGGGCTGCTGGGAGTTTGCAGGGGTTCAGGAGAACCTCTAGCTAAGATTCTGTGCAGTTCGGAGAACCCCCAAATCCCACTCCTGGATGGCACCTTCCACCCTGCCCCTCCCAGGAGTCCTCACGCGGCCCGTTTTGGATGCAGGTAAGTGCAGGGCGTGTGCGGAGGCTCAGAGAAGGCAAAAAATGGGCCTACTGGGAGTTCGGGAAGGACAGAAACGGGCCCTTTCTGTCCTTCCCGAACTCCCAGTAGGCCCATTTTTTGCCTTCTCTGAGCCTCCGCACACGCCCTGCACTTACCTCCAGAGGGCCTCCGCACACGCCCTGCACTTACCTCCAGAGGGCCTCTGGAGGCTGGAGGGCGTTTTCACCCTCCTGGAGGCTCAAAGAAAGCCTCCTGAGCCCAGGGAAGGCAAAAAGCCCCCCCCGTGCTGCAGGAGGCCGACGAGGCCACGCCCACCATGGCCACGCCCACCCAGCAACTGGGCAGAAAACCCCTTGCTAAAATTTTTGAAGCCCACCCCCGCATAAATTACATTTACCATAGCCCAGCTGAGATACTAACTGATTGCTATCCAAAATATCTTCTCAACGTCTTTAAACAAGACTAAAGACTCCCATGGTTGCAAGCTTGCCCACTGAGTTACCTTTTCATCATGAAGTTCTTTCTGTCTCCCATAAAGGTTTCCTTGACCCATGAAGGATAAACAACCTTCATTGACCCCTCTAGGAGCTCTAACTCTTTAATTTAAGAATTGTCAACTGGGTCTCCTAACCCAATGAGCCAATGAGTAGCCTCTGGCTTTCTGAGACATAGCTTGAGAATGGAGAAAGGAGGAGGTTGCAATAGCTGAGGTTCAGCCGAAGGGTGGCTGATGGATAACTCTTCTTCTGAAGCTGTGTGCCTGCCTATTGAAAGAGTAGGGGAAGGAGCAAGGAGCAGCCATGATGAGAATGGTGTGCCAGTCTCTTTCTAATCCATCAGTTGGTCATCTGCTGGAAAGTTGCGAGGCAAATCAAATTTAAGGGGTTGAAAGCATCTTGAGATCTAGGAAGATAGCAGGGCTGACATGGAAATGAAGCAATGGGGTGGGATCAGGGGTGAAATCTACTTACCTTCCCTACCAGTTTGGAAGTGTGCACGCCATGCATATCAAGTGTGATTTTGAACCCTCTGCACATGCCTTCTGTGCATGCACAGAGGGTAAAAAACAGGTTACTTCCAGGTTAAAACCAGGAAGTAACAACTACCGGGCGGGTGGGCGGAGTCTCGGGCTGCCACCGCTACCGGTTCTCCGAACCACCCACCATTCACCGCTACCACTTCTCCCGAACTGGTGCGAACCGGTAGCATTTCACTCCTGGGTGGGATGCTTGATCTTTCCGATTTATGCTTTGCCCTTAAGGATGTAGGAGCCTACTCAGATGAGAACATGTGGCCAATCCAAGCTCAGATTCACCCACTGGACCTTCTACAAGGCCCCCAGGTAGTGAATGAAGCCAGATGGCAATTGATGCAATGAAAAAACCCGAGTTATTCCATGCTCAGTCATCCTTCCCATTAAATTTCCAAACATGGCAACACGGAGGCAGACAGAGCCAAAGCTTAATGCAGCAAATGTAGAAGTAAGAAAAACGAAAGCAAAAAAAAAAAAAAAAAAAATGGTTCCAGCAATGTAGGTGCTACAGACAGCATGCACATCAATTCATACTTACATAAATGTCTGCACCATAAAATCCATCCTGGTAAACAACACTGGAAAGATGTACACACAAAGAAAAAACATTCATATTAGTGCATTTCCACATGCAGATGCTACCAACCCCTGAAACTCTTGAGGTTAGTCATATCACAAGAACAACGGAACAAGAAAGAAAGAAAAAACAAACTGGAATGCAAACAAAGAATATGTACAGATATAGATAACATTATAGAATTCACATAAGATGGGGGGGCACTCTTTCCTTATCTCAAATGGGGTCTGGAAGTTCCTTATTTTATTTTTTTTTCTTTTCTTCAGAAGAAAGTAAAGTGGCACCATTAATATCTGGTGTTTTGTGCGGGGAGTGCATCTTTCAATATACCAAGCTAGGATTTTCACCTCTGAGTTTCAGATATCCCCACAGCATCTAAACTAACTTGTCCAAATTTTACAGGTCGTTACAAATGCAATACCCCATGCTGCTTTGTTGTCATTCTAGAACAACACCTGTTCCATTTCTAGGCAGAAGAGGCCCCTTCATATGTGGCAATGAAGCTGAGTCACAGTAAAGGTAAAGGTTCCCCTCGCACATATGTGCTAGTCATTCCCGACTCTAGGGGGCGGTGCTCATCTCCGTTTCAAAGCCGAAGAGCCAGCGCTGTCCAAAGACGTCTCCGTGGTCATATGGCCGGCATGACTAAATGCCAAAGGTGCACGGAACGCTGTGACCTTCTCACCAAAGGTGGCCCCTATTTTTCTACTTGCATTTTTTTACGTGCTTTCGAACTGCTGGATTGGCAGGAGCTGGGACAAGGAGCTCACCCCATTATGTGGCACTAGGGATTCAAACCGCTGAACTGCTGATCTTTCGATCGACAAGCTGGGTTTCTTAGGCACTCAGCCATCGCATCGCAAGGGGAGGCTAATTGGGTTCATCTCTAAGAGGAGCAAAACGTTCTTTGCTAGTCTAGATGCCAGCCATGATGTTATCACTAGTGTTGGAGACCAGGGGACCGGGTTGTATGTAGAGGTAGTCCTCAACTTACGACCACAATTAAGCCCAACATTTCTGTTGCTAAGCGAGACAGTGGTTAAGTGAATTCCCCCCCCCCATTTTACAACCTTGCTTGTTAAGGGAATCCCTGCAGTTATTACCATTTATCAACAAAGTCATTAAGTGAACCCATTGACTTTGCTTTTGTCAGAAGATCACAAAAGAGGATTACATGATCCCGGGACACTGCAACCATCATAAATATGAATCAGTTGCCAAGTGTCTGAAATTTGATTACGTGATCGTGGGGATGCTGCAATGGTTGCAAGGGGGAAAAAAAAGTGAAGACAGTGTGGAAAATGGTCATGGGTCACTTTTTTTCAGTGTGGTTGCAACTTTGTGAGGTTACTAAATCAACTGTTGTAAGTCAAGGACTATCTGTAGTCTGTTCCATACCACTATGGTACCAGATGGAGTGATGCACTCCTCTTCTATGGGACTACCCAACTCTTGGCAACCCTTTTTTTATTTTGCACAAGGAAACATACTTTTACACATTTTTGTTGGTGTCACCTCAGATCGTCATGCATTGTGGGGAAGATGAAAGGGCCTAATTGAACACCTTCAAATGGGAGAAGCTGGTTCTTCAACCTGTCTAGAATTTGTTTAAACCTGTATTTCAAGTTGTGTTCTAAGGAATACGGAACGCCTTTCAGATAACAGGAATTATCTGTCAAAAAAGACCAGTCTCAATAAAGACAACTTTTGTTATTTTTCTCCCAAAATATTCCCCTGAAATGCGGAGTTACAAAGGTCTCTGGGTAGCAATACGGCACTCGTTCTAATAATCCGCACCGCCATTCATCCCAAATATTTCGCGCGTAAAGGGCTGCTTCGAATGAATCCTGGGGAATATGTAATGACGTTACATGTTCTGAAAGCAATTAAACCCCAAGTTTAATTCTCTTCTCAGCCACCAAATTGATAAATTTCTGCCGGTTGTTCTCACTCATCCCAATTTACCTCACCAAGATGCCGTCGTGAGGAAAAACGGCAGTAGGGAGATTATGTGGAAGAATACAGAGGTAGGACATGGGACTGAGGGGAAAAAAAAAACTGAGCGACCATTATGAGGAAAGTTTCAGAGAAGATAACTTGGTCCTGAAGGAAAACCTGAGGAAGAAACTCTAAATAAGCAAGATAATTAAACTCTAACTGATCCTGCCCTGGTTTTTTTTTTTTTTGGGGGGGGGGGGGAGTGTATAGAGAAGCTTTGATAGGCTTTGAAGATCCTCTTATTTCACCCCACAACAATAAAGATCATTTTTACAATCCCCATTTTGCCTGTTTCTTGGCCCTGCATACTTCAAAGAGCTGACATCAATCTTGAAAGGTCTAATTTTGGCAGGGGAAAAAAAGATTTCACCAATGAGCGAAATGGGTATAGGGCCATGATGGCGAAGCACATCAGATGGCGTAGCACGCAGAGCCATATCTGTGGGCACATGAGCGTTGCCCTAGCTCAGCTCCAGCACGCATGCGCTCGCCAGCCAGCTAATTTTCGGGCCCACCGGAAGTCGGGAAATAGGCCATTTCCGACCTCCAGAGAGCCTCCGGGGTGGTGAGGAAGGCCATTTTCGCCCTTCCCAAGCTCCAAGAAAGCCTCTGGAGCCTGGGGAGGGCAAAAACGGGCCTACCGGGCCTACCGTGACATCGCCTGCCAAAAGCGGGAGGAGCACGGGGGGTCACGCACGCATGCGTGAGGGGCATTGATTGGGGACCCGCATGCGCACAATCCCCACATGCTTCCCCCACTTTTGGCATGTGACGGCAAAAAGGTTAGCCATCACTGATATAGGGTATTGATAGAATAGAATATTTATACCTCGGGATTGAAATTGGCGGCACTTGGTGCTCTCTGAGCTTGGATCTTTTCTTGCAGACATTTCATTACCCAAGTAGGTAACATCATCAGTGCTAGCAGGGAGTGGGGTTTCCTCTGTGTTTATATGCAAATACCAATAGAAGAGAATATTTGTAGCTCAGGGTTGAAACTGGGGGTGCCTGGTGCTGTCTGAGCTTGGATATTTTCTTGCAGACATTTCATTACCCAACTAGGTAACATCATCACTGCTAGCAGAGAGTGGAGTTTTCTCTCATTTTATGTATTAGTGGCTAGTAGCTATATATTAGTGGCCACTAACATATAACGTGAAAGCAAACCCCACTCCTGCTAGCACTGATGATGTTACCTAGTTGGGTAATGAAATGTCTGCAAGGAAACAAAGAAGTCTTTGTCTGAAGTGGTGTAGGGTTTCCTGCCTAAGCAGGGGGTTGGACTAGAAGACCTCCAAGGTCCCTTCCAACTCTGTTATTCTATTCTAAATTCAGAGAGCACCAAGGACAAACAGGGCATGGGGCAGGGGTGAAATTAAAAAAAAATTCCCTACCGGTTCTATGGGCATGGCTTGTTGGGGGGGAGGTCATGTGACTGGGTGGGCGTGGCCAACTCAACATCACTCATATTGAGGGGCTCCTCACCGGCCCCTCCCCTTCAAGCCACTTCTTGTCACAAATGGCAGGAAAATGGGGAGGGGAATATTCCTGCCTACCATCCTTCCCTCAGTCTGTGCTGAGATTGAGGAATGGATGGCAGGCAGGAAAATCCCCTTCCCCATTTTCCTGCCTTTCAGAAAAACGGCTTTATTCCACCTGCTCCCCCCTTCCCCTTCCCTCCTGGGGACGATCTTAAAAGGGACTGCAGCAGCTCCCTTGTGAATGGAGGGAGAAAAGTTAGCATTCTCTCTGCTGCATTTAAACATTGAATTCTGTGGAATATCGAGCGGCCGGAAGAGGTGAGCGGCAACCGGCTGGGCATGGGTGGGTGGGGCCAATTACTACCGGTTCAGGGAACTGATGCCCATAATCCCTAGTGGATCGCCCGAACCAGTCTGAACCGGTAGGATTTCACCCCTGGCATAGCATATTTTTTAATATATCATTAACAATTGTGAATGCAATTATTATTTGTTTTATTGTGAATACAAAGCCAAGGAGAAGAATTGGCTTGGTCCTGCCTGAAGATTTCAGATTAATCCAGCTATTTCCACTGAGTGCTTGATAGATACAATCTAGAATTTCCAGCTGTCTTGCCTAGCCAGGACAGGATAATGTCCTTCGCACTCTTTTTTTATTATTATTATTATTTGATTTATATGCCGCCCTTCTCCGGAGACTCAGGGTGGCTTACAATGCGTTAAGCAATAGCCTTCATTCTTTTGTATATTTATACAAAGTCAGCTTAATGCCCCCACAAACTGGGTCCTCATTTAACCTACTCTTACTCTTACTCCACAAGTAAAACTCACCTGAACTGACAACTGATTCTTATTTCATACTAGCTGTGGAATTACTTTTCTGGAGGTTCTAGGTCAGTGATGGCAAATCTTTTCAGCAAAGAGTGCTGAAAAGGGAGCGTATGTGTGCACGCGCATGGGGCGCCAAGTGCCAAAAAGGGTGCATTTTGCATGCACGCTTATCAGGACCACGACCAGGGAGAAGAGCTGCCCAGAGGGCATGCGCACACCGAATAAGGTACTTTCAGTTTTTGGCGTGTGCATGCGCACCGGCAAGTGAGTCTTCTGGTTATTGACGTGCATGCGCACGTGCCGATCAGCTGGCCATTTTCACGTCGGAAAACGGAAGACCAGTTCTTCTGGCACTGCTGCACACACAAAGGCCAGCTGATCATCATGTGTGCATGCATGCCAGAAACCCGGAAGAGGAACGGGTGACGCTGCGCGTAATGGGCCACATGGCTCCACATGCTACTTCAGGCACACGTGCCATAGGTTCAGTCATCACGGTTCTAGGTAATTATTCTAGCCCACAATGCACCAGCTTCAGCATGTTCTCCCCTTCTGTGCCTCACAACATTTGCTATCTAAGATGGCCCATCTGTCTAATGGAGATGTTGGGACCTGGTCAGAGAATGGCTGAGTTGGAAACATCATCTAAATAATCTTATCCAACCCTCTGCTTTGTACAGGAATCCAGGAA